TTAAATTCGTACCACAAGACCAAACTAAATGGGAAATGAATGAATAATTTAATCACAACAGCAGTACAAAACTTTCTCTGTGACAGGACAGACGGACAATACATACAAACAGCTGATAGCTGAAGGTGAGCAGCAACTGAACGCTGTATACTTGTTCCTCAGGTTTCAGAGGTAGCTGCAGCTGAAATTTCAAAAGGTCCAACTTTCCGTCTTGGTTCTGGTCTTCTTCTCTCACCTATGAAGTCCGTACAGAGAAAAATAAAAGGGTTTTTACTCAAATATGATGATGTTTGCCAGCCTGAAGAGGATTAATTGGTACAGATGGTCAGGAGATTGGAGACTAAATGAATCACAACTGCAACCCGTGCAGAGGCTGCTCAGAAATAGCAGCAGGCAGGTTTTAGTGTTTCTGCACATGCAGTAAGGTGAGGCCTTGATGTGCTGGCCTGTTGACAAGAATTAGAGAGAGCGGACTAACTTAACACTTTCTACATGCACTGCTCTGACTCTGCTCTCTCCAACTTCCAAGATTAACTTGTCAATGACAGTCGTCTGTTTTTCTCTCCTTGATAAAGCCACTAGAGGAGTTTTTAACATTTCACTTTTCTCCCACATAGAAAGCATGCCTGAATCACTACTGTGGAGTGACCCCTCAGCCACCATTTCATCTAATACTCTGTAGTTAGGTGAGTGGTAACCTAGTGTTAGGGCATAGAGCTTGGAATCCTGAGGTTCTGAGTATGAGCCCCGCTGCCAAGGACGGCCACTCTGGGTCTCTGAGCAAGACTCTTAACCCCCGATTGCTCCCTGAATGCCGCACGATGGCAGCCCACTGCTCCCTAAGGGGATGGGTTAAATGCAGAGGTCAATTTCTCCAATGTGAGATCAATGAAGTTAGATTATTATTAGTAGTTAGATGGCCCTCTCTATACACCTCCAGACTCTAACATTGGTAAACATTAATTAACTAATCCAATATCGATCATGTTTCATTATACTGGTCATGTTACATCTCATGAAAACTGATACTACAACCTTTGTTCTGAGGAATTTATTACATTTAGTGTTGCATCAATTTTTACTGAACTTGGCAAAAAAAAAAAAGCATTCTCCTACTCTGGTTCTTCCACTGTCAACACACTGCAGAGAGAAGCTGAAGCTCTCCAGTTTTGTCACGCTTAGACCTAGACAACTTTTATTGTCATTTTGTATAAACATAGTGAATACAAAACAAAATTCCGGTTTGTACAGCTTCCAGACAGTAAATGAGCAGCAGCTTGGCGTTAAAATTAACATTTTCATTTCATAAAGTGCAGTAGTGAGACAGGAAGTTGAACATTTTAATAAAAGGATTAGTAAATTTGTCTCGTCATCCTTGTACTTGTTTCTTTAGCTTGGGTCATAAGGTACTGATCTTTAGTCGATAGTATTATATTATTTCTGTTTTTATATTACTGCTGTTAATGTAGATAACACATCTTTGTTGTAAAGAAGACTGTGAGATTTTACTGTGTAAAAAAAGAGGATTAAATAAAAAATAGAATAAAATCAATGCCTTTGTTTTCTGTTTACCTTAAAACTCTCTCTGTAGAAAGGTACTTATACTAGACAAAAATGAAAATTTTTTATTGATTTCAAAATGCCATATGTATATATATATATATATATATATATATATATATATATATATATATATATATATATATATATATATATATATATATATATATATATATATATGGCAGCCCACTGCTACCAAAAGGGGTGCGTTAAATGCAGAGAGTTAATTTTGTTGCTCTGTGTTTGACTGTAATGACTATAAAAGCTGGAAAAATGAATAAAAAATAAATATATATATATATATATGTGTATGTTCGGTTTTATGATCATTTGGTTTGGGAGTGGAATAACTACTTGCATTTTTTGTCTCATTTATTTATTCATTAATTCTCCCTTTTATTTAATAATTTTCCCCCTTACATTTATTTATTATTTTGTCCTTTTTATTTGTTGATCACATAAAGGATAGCATCTTTTTTTAGAATCGAAATGGTAGAACTGTTGTCAGAAAAAATCTGTTTACTATCACATCCTTTCTCCTGTTAATCATGAGTGCGGATTTTTCTTTACTTTTAAAAGTGTTTGCTCTAACAGAGAGCCTTCCAGACAAGGCTGAATGTGGATCTCATCTTACTGAGGCCTCAGAAGGCTAGACTCCTTCAGACTCAAGGTTATTTCAACAAATGCTTTATTTTGTGAGAAACTATCTATGTAAGAAAGGGTCTATTGTGTCTGTGAGAATCTCTCCCTGTGCTTCTTAAGTATTTAGTGAAAACCTGTGTGATTCAGAACAGGCGGGAATATTCGCAAATGTATCTTGCTTTTTTTTCCCTTGCAAAATGTTAATAAATGCTGGATGGAACAAGAAACACCGGATCTCAATTTCTTGTTAAATAAGACTTAGACATTTTGTTTCTGTCAACAATCATTACCAAAATTTTATGGATTCTTACTCAGCATGAGGTGCACCTTTGGTAAAAATGTAATCCAAAGTTATCCTCTTAACAAACCATCTAACAAACATAACCTCCTTGGCAGAGTTAATTAATACTCACTTAGTAGTAAAGGCATTATTTCGTCATACATTTGCCAACAGGTGACTTTGTAGAGCTTAAAAAAACAGGACATAGGACCTTTACATTTGTCTTTTCACTATACAAATGTTCATGATGAAGGTTTGCTGCAAAGTCAACAACACTCCTAAAGGGAGTGGCGGCCTAGGCAGTGGCGGTGAAGGTATAGAGCTTGGAATCCTGAGGTTCTGAGTTTGAGCCACACTCCAGCACACTGCCACTCTGGGTCTCTGAGCAAGACCCTTAACCCCCGATTGCTCCCCGGGCGCCCCACGATGGCAGCCCACTGCTTCCCAAGAGGATGGGTTAAAAGCAGAGTTTAATTTCTCCAATGTGAGATTAATACAGTTTAATTATTAAAAAAACAACTGCCCACCATCCCTAAAGATAAAGTTAATTCTGCAGCTCACTGACTCAATGCAATCTGCTGGGTTTATGTCAATCATTAAACTTCAGTGTGCTTAAGAAATTTCACAAAAGATCTATAAATATTTTTTAAAGAAGAGTTTCATGGACATGACAGTAGAGAAGAAGGTGGTGAATTTCCTGTTAGTTATACGGTTTTTCAGTAAATAAAATACTTTGATCCAAGTTCACCTTGTCAGTCCAGCACTGATAAAATAATAAACATGTTTTATATATTCTGCGATAGTTTTGTCTGCTTGAAGATTAATGCTTAAATATTACATTAGTGTGTGTGTTTTTTTTAAAGGTGCATTATTTTGTTCTTACGGAGACAGCAGGAATCCTCAGGTTGGCTTCAAGCATGTTGTTCAGATGAGGGAACGTGCTCCAGGCAACATAGTCTCCTTGTAAGCTGGTGGCTACAAGCAGCAGGGTTTGGTACTGAAATCTCACCACAGGCTGTTCTTCATAAGTCTTTCTTTTAATCCAGAAACCTGAAACAGAAAGAAACCCAAATCATCAGCCCACCACTGCTGTACCAGACAGCTGGCATTTGGGTGGAATGATGTGTTCCTCTCTTAACATTAGTCTTATCTGCCCTCTGTCCAGACATCATTGGGGCAGTAATCTCATGTTATACCCCCATTTATTTTTGAAAAGAGAGGAGAATTTTATCCTACTTTTTTTTTCAGGATTAATGGTGGATCTGTCTGTTTTCCTAGAAATACTATCAAAGTTACAAATATTTAGCAAGCTTACTGCGCCTAGCACCCTTCAAGATGGAGCTTTTGGTTGTTTGCAATCTCTCTGTCTCATCATAGGGTAAATTTGCATTGATTTCCTCTAGAGACGGACAATCACACATGATTTATCTGTATAAAAAATACAAATGCAAGAATTTATTATGAAAACAGATCTTTCTAATTTTATATCTTTAGCAAACTGATGCCACGGTTAGATACTTTGGCATTATGAGCTATTTCTTTCCCATGTTTTTAATATGAGAGTGATAAACATTCCAGTACCTTGGCTTCTGTAAGCGACCAGCAGAGGTGCGATGTATGTGAGGCACAGGACAACCAGCATGAACAGGGTGGCCTTTGTACAAACGCTTGTTCTGTAGCGAATCACAGCAGGATGAGAGTACACTTCATAGAAAGCCATCGGTGGGATGCTAACGCTAGCGCGGATGCTATCAACTGCTCTAAAAATAATCAAACATTCACACAACAAACTGTAAAGTTAATAAAGTTATGCTCTGCTGAGTAACGTCCATCTAGATGCATCTAGCGTCGCGTTGGGTTGGCAGTTATGGTCGTTTACAGGTATTAGCTGCGGTAGCTAGTTTGTAGCGCATTAGCTAGCAAGCGTCCACACGTTTCCATGGCTGCCAGGGTTAGCGCTCAAGGTGCGTTCAAGTCCCGTTGGAGTTTCGTTACAAAATCATCTGCAATGGTTAAAATGAATAAAACTTTGCATTATGGAAGTACGCCTACTTGCAATATTGTATCGTTTATATTCAAGCGTTTTGGAGACATCATACGTGAATATATATGTGCTTGTCATTTCCTTCCTGACAGCTTTCTACAAATTTTAGATCATTTTTTTAGGTTGTTCTGGTTCTGTAGCCTTTATTTTTACATTTCTTTTTCGTTTATTTCTGTCTTCTTTTTTTTACCTTTCTCTTTTCTTTATCTCTGGCTTACATTGTTAGGGCACATTTGCTTACAAATCTATGAGAGTTTCTATATCATATAGATGTTATCAATGGCGTAACGACACAACAATAGGCCCGTAAGCAACATTTTCTGGGTGGGCCCCATATGAAGTACTGTGTGTCACTGTGTGTAATGGATTCAATGGTATATGAGTTTAATTCAGCACAGTGTTCTAATTTACTACGATGGCGGTGTAAATTCCGGATGTACTGACTGTCTAGAGGTGCACCTGAAGGCACCGTGGCGCTGTCAGAAAATGACGTCACTCTGTGTTGGACGGACAGCTGAAAGGCAGACTTCTTGTTGACGTTTTGTTTTGATCGCGTTTGTTTGGATTCCCTTTGACGTTTTACCCACATTCCCAGCGGATCCTAAAGATTTCACCGCCACGCCTCGGTTCGGGGATCCAGCAAAGATGAAATGGATGTTTAAAGAGGACCATTCCCTCGGTAAAGAAGGGGGTTGGATTGTTATGAAACGGGGTTAATTTTGTCGTGTCACGCATCTTCATTTCTTATTTCCTTTCTCTTATTTACCCTCCACATTTAGTTTTCCCCCCCCGTTTTTCCTCATCGGTGCATCATTGCACGTTTGTTTTTTGTTTTCGTTGCAACCTGCAGATTAATGCTCTAAATCAACAATGGCTTGACCTTAATGGCAAGAGAAACCTTAAATAACACGAATTGACTGCCATTTAAGAGCTGATTACGTTTAGGAAAGCAATTTAGTTCAATGTATATGCATTTTGCCCATTTTGGGGGCGTTGAAGCAGCACTAAATTGATTCAAAACACGCCTAAAACCTGATTGTTTTTAATACTCTATGCGGTTTTTTTATATATAAAAAAACACAACAAAACGCAAAAACTATAAAAGTGTAAAAACTATACAGTACCCTGTTTAAAAAGTAATATTTTACGCCACCCCCGCCTCCGAAATGGTTTGATCCATCATTCTGCCTTCCTTTACTAGGGGAGGGAGGCAGCTCTCTGCAGAATGACCCATGACAGTAGTGCGACTGTCTGGCTTTAAACCGAAAGTGTTGTACAATGATTAACTAATACTTAATTCCAACACTAATTTGGATTACTCTTTATGTGTTGGTAGGATTTATCTAACCTTACAGGTGTTCAGGACCACTCTCATCCCTGTGCATGCACAGCTAGCCGCTGTTATCCACACCTTTGTTTCAAGACCGCCTGTTTTTCAGTGTAGTCCTGTTTCTCTGACTGTGACTGGCTGGATGTGCTCTCTTTATCCTCTGACATGGGAGTTGGCTCGGGGCTCGTCTGCCTGGCTGTGTGTTTCCTGGATATGGCCGCCTTTTACAGCTGCTTTTTGTATCTCTGCTTCTGTCTCCTTGAAATCCAGTCGGCCTCTGCAGATGGCTGCTCACACTGAGCCTAGTTCTACTGGAGGTTTCTTCCTGTTTAAAGGGAGTTTTTCCTCTCCACTGTCGCTACAAGCATGCTTAGTGTGAGAGATTACATGCAAGTCAATGAGTCGATGCAATCAACTGGTTTTCCTTAGATTGAAAACTTTGAATCAATTTGACTGTATGATCTGGTGAACTGTAAAGTGCTTGAAATGATGTGTTGTGAATTGGCGCTATATAAATAAACTGAATTGAATGGAATATACATGTGTTTGTAAAAGCCAAGGTGGATGCTCATTAACATTTAACATTTAATCAAGTAAGATTTAATAATATTAATCATAATATAATATTATTTCTTAAACTATAATAATTACAGTTAATAATAATAAATCTAAATAATAAATAATAATAATCTAAATAATCCACATGTTTGGTAAAAAAAAAAAACATGGAAATAATAAATAATATTCTATTAAAATAATAATCTATTAAATCATAATTTAATTGTTTTTTATTTATATTTTTCAGTTTCTTGTTATTTGAATTACTGTTTGGATTTAGCTTTTTCTTTAGTAGGGGCGTATCTAAACATTCAAGCGCAAATATACGTATTCATCTGGTTAAATAAAATCATTTTTATGATTGCCAGTCCAAAGAGGGAGATTTACATGGGGAAGGAGATGAGCAAGGTGTGTGAAAAGCACAGGCTCAGCAAAAACAAAAGCAGTTGTTAAGCTGACATAGAAAAACTTTCCATTCAGTATGTGATCGCCCCATATTAAATGTTTTCCAGAAGCGCCCATACATATAACATTAGTAAAAATCTGTCTAAAAAAAGACATCTGTATTACATGTTCCTAATCATCTTTGTGGTTTAATACTTGCTTAATTGCACTATATAAGGAGGAGAAGAACAAAAATGAGCGAGATAAGACTGATCAGACAAGTGAAAGAGAAGAGGGGGGAGCGGCATACCAGCCAGCGAGCCAAAGGATATTAAAATCTGAATTTGGATTTAGGGGATAGGACTTCGGGTCCTAAACAATTAGAAATGTTCTGTTACCCATTTTGCTAGAAAGGCTGCTTTTTGCTTTACTGGTTGGGATATTTTGCCAAAGTGTTCAGATACAATGCATTAGTGAATAATGGACTCAGTATTGGGGAAAATGCCCTGAGCAAGTTTCTAAAATGTAGAAAATGTAATTAGAAAACATTGAAATTTATTATGCTCAGCACCCATAAACCACTGATACTACAATACAATACACAATACACCTTTTATTTCTATAATCTTGTCGAAATACTGAGAACAATCAGGATTTAACTTATTAACACTTTACTGGAAGGCTATTTAATCCATTATAAATCTACATTTATCTGTAACTAGACTAGAGATGTCCCGATCCAGGTTTTTGCACTTCCGATCCGATACCGATATTGTTTTTGGACTTCCGATCCGATACCGATACTGGCCGATACCAGCCTATCCGAGCATGTATTTGAGTTTAAGTTAAAGTATTTAGCCTTAGTTGTAAGACTCATGTTGAAAAGGGTTTTAGTACTCTTGATAACATCTAGCCAGCTAAATTAGGTGAGATTGAATAAAACACAATGCTTGGTAACAACAAACTTTCCTGTTTATTAAGAGATAAACACAAACTGGACAAAATTATGAATAGCAATCTGAAATTGCACAGTGAACAGTAAAACCGTAAACGGTTAAAGGTGCAAGTATTACTGTAAGTTTTAATAAAAATGCAAAACAGGGAAACACTGGCTCAAAATAGTGGAATGGATCGTTTCAATCGGCGAAACTGGAAAATATGGACCAGATTTTTTTTAAAAAACTGGATCGGCAGTCTGGATCGGCATTTTACATGCTTTGCCGATACGCATTTTTTTGCCAATATCGGCGTCCCGATCCGATCCACGTATCGGATCGGGACAAGCCTAAACTAGACACAAAATAGGGCTTCAGGAATTTCTCTTCTATTATTTTATTATTTTATCTGATGTCTGATATTTTATTATAATATTCTATATTTGAGTAATATATTTCTTAAATCAGTTTTATTTTGAAAGTCTTCAGATTACCTCCAGTCTCCTTTTTTAGAGAAACACCTAAAATTAGGCCCTCTATCTAGGCTAATGTGAGCCTGAAACTAAATGAGTTCTCCACATTTTATCACCTTCCCCTCCCTGACCTCTGCACTGCACTTGTTCTGCCTGCTGCAGCAGCTTTTGTGCTCTGTAACAACAATGTATATGTCTAGCTATACCTTAGAAAGCATGAGAAATTCATAATGGGAAATTTGCATTTTGCATCACATCCATCAGCTTTTCTGACTGCTTTGTTTTGTGTTTTGTTGTTGAGCTCTGTACTGAACCAGGCCTGGCTGCAAGGCAGCAGCCAGAGAATCCCAAGAGGCCTCACTCATCCCTTTAATCTCTGACTTCCTGTTTGTTTGCTGTCTCTCCCTCAGAGCACCGATGTGTGGAGTCAGCCAAAATACGCAACAAATACCCGGACAGAGTACCGGTGAGTTGTGGGGGAGGGGTGCTCTTTTATTTTAGGCAGCTGTGGTTGAGATAGAAGGACAGAGAGCCGACAGATAAAAATGAGGGCATGCCAAAGACAAGCCAAACTTATCACTCGAAAATTGCCTCGTTGTCTTTAACATATTTCTGCTAAAGAATGGTTTGGGTTTTACAAAACTTTCTGTTTGGTAAAAGCCAATAAAAATGTCTGATGGTAATGTCACAAAACTTTATAAAATTAAAAAGATTGATTTTCAGTGTCATGAATGTTATATTGCAAGTAAAAATTGTTTTGGGTCAATAATTTACATTCTTCCAATTTTGAGCTTTATTTAAAAAAAAAGTTTCTTTTTAGTTATGATGCATGGATTTTTGTCAGATTATTACATAGAACAAAGGTGCATTAATAGAATAACAGATTTGTAATATCAAACTGAGGCCCGTTATTTACAATGCAGCAGATCCTTTATATGAACTGTAGTCAGATCTGCATCAGTGGGTGTAAGACACAATACTCTTACACTTTTTCTTTGTATTAATGATGTAACTTATCAGCTGACTGCTTTTAATACCAGCACTTTTATATTTTTATACCATAACTGCAATTTTGAGCAGCTTTTGGTTTAATTATTATTCAAATTAATTCATAATGCCTTCAGTGCTTTTATTTATCTTAATTTATACCAAACTATATTCTGATGGATTAAAATATCAAATCTGAATTAAGGATGTCAAATGCATGAACCAGCGTTTGCTGCTTATGCATCTTAAATGTGTCCGTAATGATTTGAATGTATAAAAATCTTCATGGTATCAGGTGTAAAGCAGATATGATCCTGAGGTGTTTCCAGCACTGAAAGAGGAGATAATCCTTTCAGTGTGACACGATCTGTCCCAGCATCTCCTCCGTACATGGGAAATCTCCCAGCTGAGCTGCAGAAACAGTCCTGACAGCTCCTCTGGCCATGAATCAGCAGAGTGTCAGCTCAGAGAGCTCACCGGGGGTCAACGTAGAAGGTGTCACTCCTGCTGTCAGTTTCAAAATTTCTCATTCCTTTAGTTTTTTGACTCAGAACCTGTGGAAAAAAACAGGTCAGGATTTCTTCGTATCAGATCTTCCTCCATATAAGCTGCTTGTGGCGGGTTTATGATGTCGATATCTAAAAATAAAAGCAGAGATGGAAATATCTGACATTGAAATTTGGTCTTGTGTTCCAGAGTATAACAGCAAGACAATGAAAAGGGTCTTAGTTAGAAAAAAAAAATGGATCATGTGCCTTTAACCGCATTCAAAAGCTGCTATAAAAGGAGATCTTTCCCCTCTGTGCTCACTAAAGCCAAAGAACTGATGGACAGCCATCACTGCAGCAGATAGCTAACAAGATAATGGCTGTTTATGTTTGTTTTTATGCAGAGCAGGAATCACTGAAAAGCGCTACCTATGTGCTGACTCTCAATAAATGAAACAAATACTGAGATTTCTTCTAATATTTAATAAAATAAAGTTTGGTTCCCACAGAAACAATTAAATTCTGCTGCCCACATTTCTCTATGAAGGGCTGGAAGTCATGGAATGAAAAGATTAAAAAAATGCATTAAATCTTTAAGACCTTAATCAGAGTAATAATAACATTAGTTAATGATCACTATCTATAATAAGTGGTAATTAAATGTTAAAATTACTTATTAAAACTAAACTCTGTTGGATAATCACATGTAAGTATTTTAATATTTTATATTTTCTATGCTACAGTCTATCATGAAATGGCTAAATAGCACAGTGAGCCTGGCCCAGTGACCCCTACAGATGCAACAACACAGGAGTTAGAGCTGGTAAAATGAAATAAATGCAAATCATGCATACTTTTACCATGTATAGAGTAGTATTTGATTTATTTTTTCACATTTATTTTTTGCAAATGTAATAATTTTTGTGATTAACATCTAATATATTTTTATCTAATATACTTAATATAAATATCTATATACATCTTATATGTGTTGAATTGTGAAATTTTAGGTCTCTTACTTAAATGCTGCAAAAAACAAATTTCCTTCCAAATTTCCATCCGGCTACTGTTAACATGCTGCAGAATACCGGCTTCATTTTGTCCTTCATGATAAAACGTTTTTTCTGTTGCTATCATTAGTAAAACCTTCAAACACTTAGTTTATCTTTTACATTTATTAACTTTAACAAATATCTAATAAAATGATCCATGTTGATCTTTTTTTCAGTCTGCAGCATCTCTGCTTGAGGTCATTAGTCACTATTCAGATATTTCAACAGTTCATCTATTTAATCACTGTAAATGGATAGCCAGCTCTTTTTTGTGTATTTAAATCAGTCAGCATGTGTAAATGTTAAATAAATCCTCTTTACATCTTTGAGTTTTACGTATGACAGGTATATTTCTTAAATGGTAGTGGATCAACGTATCTATTTGGTGTTAATCATCTGGCCGCAGGTGAGGATATTATTGTCATTATTGTCATTTTTTAAGCTCAGCAATGAATGCAAACATTAACTTTAAAACAGAGCGTGCACGATAAGAAATGGGCTTGTGCACACTCTTGCACGCTTTTAATAGGCGTTCCATCTCAGGAGCGGGTACAGAGTTGTGCATGTGAATTTTTTTTTCAAGTGGAGAGGGCGGGTAATTTCAAAAATTCCACTATACCTTTAATTAAGGTTTAAGAGCTTTTGACCTTCAGCTCAGAAACAGGTTTTTAATGAACAGCTGGTGTGATGCCAACCAACTACACCCATGAAACCAATGATTACTGTTCAGTTCATTGGATTATACACTATATTGCCAAAAGTATTTGCTCACCCATCCAAATTATTGGAATCAGGTGTTCCAATCACTTCCATGGCCACAGGTGTATAAATTCAAGCACCTAGGCATGCAGACTGTTTTTACAAACATTTGTGAAAGAATGGGTCGCTCTCAGGAGCTCAGTGAATTCCAGCGTGGAACTGTGATAGGATGCCACCTGTGCAACAAATCCAGTCGTGAAATTTCCTCGCTCCTAAATATTCCACAGTCAACTGTCAGCTGTATTATAAGAAAATGGAAGTGTTTGGGAACGACAGCAACTCAGCCACGAAGTGGTAGGCCACGTAAACTGACGGAGCGGGGTCAGCGGATGCTGACGCGCATAGTGCGAAGAGGTCGCCAACTTTCTGCAGAGTCAATCACTACAGACCTCCAAACTTCATGTGGCCTTCAGATTAGCTCAAGAACAGTGCGCAGAGAGCTTCATGGAATGGGTTTCCATGGTCGAGCAGCTGCATCCAAGCCATACATCACCAAGTGCAATGCAAAGCGTCGGATGCGGTGGTGTAAAGCACGCCGCCACTGGACTCTAGAGCAGTGGAGACGCGTTCTCTGGAGTGACGAATCGCGCTTCTCCATCTGGCAATCTGATGGACGGGTCTGGGTTTGGCGGTTGCCAGGAGAACAGTACTTGTCTGACTGCATTGTGCCAAGTGTAAAGTTTGGTGGAGGGGGGATTATGGTGTGAGGTTGTTTTTCAGGAGCTGGGCTTGGCCCCTTAGTTCCAGTGAAAGGAACTCTGAATGCTTCAGCATACCAAGACATTTTGGACAATTCCATGCTCCCAACTTTGTGGGAACAGTTTGGAGCTGGCCCCTTCCTCTTCCAACATGACTGTGCACCAGTGCACAAAGCAAGGTCCATAAAGACATGGATGACAGAGTCTGGTGTGGATGAACTTGACTGGCCTGCACAGAGTCCTGACCTCAACCCGATAGAACACCTTTGGGATGAATTAGAGCGGAGACTGAGAGCCAGGCCTTCTCGTCCAACATCAGTGTGCGACCTCAAAAATGCGCTTCTGGAAGAATGGTCAAAAATTCCCATAAACACACTCCTAAACCTTGTGGACAGCCTTCCCAGAAGAGTTGAAGCTGTTCTAGCTGCAAAGGGTGGACCGACGTCATATTGAACCCTATGGATTAGGAACGGGATGTCACTTAAGCTCATATGTGAGTCAAGGCAGGTGAGCAAATACTTTTGGCAATATAGTGTAATAGTGATTTTGTGTAATCTTTTATAAAGTATACAGTGTACAGTATCAGGTGCGTGTCCTGAAAGTTGATCTGGTTTCGACTATTAAGTCTTCTTGACATTTTAGGTGGAGATCCTTTCAGTTTCCATAAGGATTAACTGGTAAAGCTTTGCTCAGGACTTTACTCCTGAACTTTCCCTGACAGCCAACAGAACAAATGCTTTCTTTACCTATGGTGCATTGAAGCGTGCTGAAGCTGTCAGCATGTTCGTAACCTCTGTCCTGCTTTGGCCTCCAGGTGATCGTGGAGAAGGTCTCCGGTTCTCAGATCGTCGACATCGATAAGAGGAAGTACCTGGTGCCTTCGGACATCACGGTGGCCCAGTTTATGTGGATCATCCGCAAACGCATTCAGCTGCCCTCAGAGAAAGCCATCTTCCTGTTCGTTGACAAAACTGTCCCCCAGTCCAGGTGAGGTCCACACTGCCAACCCCGCTGTGATCAAGACACCTGAACATCTGCTGCCACTGATGGCGACATGTTTTCACTAAACGAGTGATCAGATATTGCCCCATAGTAGATAGTGGTAAAGTAACAAGATAAACAAATGAATGCAGGTTTTTATGTCTGCTAAATTATTTCCTTATTAGGGCTGGTAATCCTGCTGTCAGAGGAATAAACCAGAGGTTTACCTTTTGCATCCATCTGTCCTGTTTGCAGAGACTTTATCCACCCGGATGTTTAACTAAAGAGCGGGAAGGTCCGACTTCGCTGACCAGTTTCCTTTGTGTGAGAGGATTAGGCCAAACCTTCAGTTTCAAACACTGTAATCCTAAACTAATCTCATTTTAAAACAGTGATGCGGATAATTTCTCCTCTTCCTGTATTTGCATCACACTGATAATCTCTTATAACTGACAGCTCCACTCCTCCTCCTTCCCTTAAAGGTGATGATAGTCCAGCTGTTGTCTGGGAAATCTAGTTTTTAATTTGCATCTAAAATATTTAAGCAAATATGTTCGAGTCCCTTTAGAGTTCCAAAGTGAAAACCACTGCTGACCAACAGCAGTGAAAAGTCCTTTCTGACATTTACTGAAAGCATCTTGGAGGTTTGATGTTTTGTGAAAACTGTTTTGTGAAACAACCAGCCCTTAACCATCCTTTAGACATCGGTCTCTTCATTTTAAGTTTTAAAATCTCTAAAAAAAAAATATCAGTTTATCTTAGTTCTGGATCCATGTTTTTTTTTTTTACCAAACATGTGGACCCTACAGGTTTAATTTGACCCAAAGCTCCAGGGTCAGTCTCATGCGATGTTAGAATTAAGCTTTCAACAGTGTTTAGGAGCGTAGCGATAACCTCTGGTGGTGTCTCTGCTTTGTGCCGCAGTCTGACAATGGGCCAGCTGTACGACAAGGAGAAGGACGAGGACGGCTTCCTGTACGTGGCCTACAGCGGAGAAAACACGTTTGGGTGCGAAGCCGTCTGCGCAGCACAGGGTTAACGCTTCACTGAGAATCCAGACCCCCCCTGAACACACACAGACACACCCCAAAACATTAAGGCCCGGTGGCAACACTGGCCTTCACATATGGTACATTAGTAATGCTTACACACACCTCAGTTTTTGATACTGAAATATATCAATTTATTGGGTTAAAATTCCCCAAATGCTCCTGTGAAGAAGCTTTATTGGTAGTTTAGATGATGAGAAATGGAGAAAGAAAAATGCTCAAACATGTTAAAGGACAGTCATTGGGAGAAAAATCTGAAACACTGCCGTTAAATCCGATAAAAACAGACTCATGAGTATGAGCCTAAAAGAGGAAAAAATATTTAAATTCAGGGGGAAAAAGCCTCCATCCTCCCATTTTTTCTTTGTTTCTCTTCTTTGCATTAATCCAAAGTGAGAAAGAAACGCCGTGATCTTTAGTGTTAAATCTTAAAGGCAGAGTGCGGCTCTGGGGTTTAGTGCATCAGTTTCCAGGTCTTCCTCAGTTTGGCTGGTTCATCGCTGCGCATCATAGCTGCTGATTCAGGAACCAGAGAAGGCATGAGCATTAAGACTTTACTTGAAGTTACCTGAGCTGAACTGTGATGTTTATCTGCTGGGAGGCAAAAGCTAAAGTTTATTCTCAGAAATTATACTGCAAACTCTCAACAATTTAAGATGTAACAGAAAAGTGAAGAAATAGCTGATAAATTTTACCTTTAAGGAAGAGCTTAGCTATTATTTGCTTTGAATGCACGCTTCTGCAGATAATCATTGGATGTTTCAGCAACATTATGTTGAAACATCCATAATTTCTTTGGAATAATTTCCATAAAGTATCACAGAATATGCAGAATAATTTGAAATGAGTCAGTTTTCTTTTATTAAATGTTAGAATTTTATTTTATTTTTTTTTTGTATTTGATGTTTCCTGTATTTTGACAGTTTTGTTGTTTTTCTGCATCTTATTAGTTGTAAGGCACTTTAAGTTGTTTGCTCTACACATTGATTGTTTCTGTTTGTACTGTTTTAGTTTTAAATGGATGAATTAATGTAGAATATTTGGAAAATGTGAAAACTAAGAAGTCTTTTGCTGGCTGCATCTTTTAGTGAAAACAGACTGTAGGTCAGAAGTTTGCATCCGCTCATTATTAGCATCTATTTCATGCTTTAAATCATTTTTAAGTACTTGTTAAAACAGAAATTTGAGGGCAACAATTTCAATTTATTCTATTTTTTTCTGTAATCTTGATTGGGTCAGAAATAAACTTGCAGTCCCAAAACATGTGTTTATATGTTCCTCTATTTAGCATTAGATTATCCATTTGCAAGTCAGAATTTTTTTTTTTCTAGTAGACCTCAATAAAGTTGATTGACTAATTTAGCACACATCTCATCAGAAATTGTAGATTTTATTTTAAGTCAATAAAGTTGATTCATTTCTACCAAGTCTGGGTCATTCTAGTAGCGCATTACCAGTCTGTTTTATTTCTTCAGAAACTGGTTTTGCAGAGTGTTTGGGATCTTTGTGTTACTGGGTGTAATTTTTTGAATTTGCAATTTATTGATTTGAGACAAAACATCAGTTTGGAAGCAAATCTATGCCTTAATTATCAAAATCAAAACAGACCCAGAGCCTGATGGTTAGGATGTGCAGCAAAACTATATGGATTTATATAGATAGATCTAGAGTCGTAAAGAGGGTAAAGCTATCCATCCTAAACAAATGTCTGTAAACTTTATTTATTGAAACCAAAATTTCCCATTGGAAGATAATAAAGTGTTGAGCTTATTAGATGCTTTACAGGCTCCGAAGCTTTCCCTTCATCGACACCTTGACACCTGATCCAACTACAAAACGTTTCTTTAGAAAGCAGTTGCTTTGTTCAGGTGTTCAGCTACACATTTTAAATGAAGTGTGGAGCTCTCGTCTTTTGGCCCTGATCATGTCACTGTAGATAATGATGATACTGCATCAGGTTTTAATTTCTGATGGGTACCGGTTGATTCTCGTACATCCTAAGCCAGTCGTTCAGACTGCGTCAGAAGAGAGAAAGCTGGACACAGCTTGTTGTTCCAACAGGACAAAGAACCCAAACACACAAAACTGGTGTTAGAAGGTATAAAGCAAGCTGACATTATGGGCTTGATGATATGCGAGGAGACTGACCGGTTGAAAATGTTTTTATGTTGTCTACTGAAAGAAGGGATTTTAAAAAAAGAATATGGCCAAAGTTTAAGTTCTGTGAATAAAATTATTAGATTTATCTGCAAAATGCTAAAAGGATATTTAAAAAATACCACTGCAAAAAGAACTAAAAGTAAGTAAAAATGTCTTATAATTGGTGTATTTGTATTTGATTTTAGTAGGCAATTTAAATAATCTGTCGATGGAATAAGATTGTTTTCCAAATTCAATAAGAAAAAAATATTGTTAACCTATTTCAAGTGAGGGTATGTATAATTAGCTTATTTTAGGGCCAAAATACAAATTTTATTTGTTATACTTATTTGCTTAAATAAACCCTTTTCAATAAATGTTTTTCTTTAGATACATCTTTGCAGTATGGGGGTGTATGCATGTATTTGAGCTTGTATGCATAATTAGAGAAAATCACCAACATGAACAGACCCTGTTATGATCATTTTAGACATTTTAACTGCACCATAAAAAAAAATAAGAATCAGAGGACATTAATGTCCCATGAGGGGATGTTCAGTCCTGGTCAGCACTGTAAGGCTATTTTTTTGTTGTTGTGAGACACCAAGTATTCAATAAAATACATAAATAAAATAAGCCAAACATGAAAACCATCCAAAATGATTTGTCACTTTAAATAATCTGCACAAAACACTCAAATATCTAGTTTAAAAACATCTACACTATCCTAAATAAATATATTATAGCAAACATACTGCTGCTAAAATAAAGATATTTCATATTAAATCTGGGTTATTGGGGCATGCTCTAAAGTTTTAATTGGAAAAAAAAAAAACAGGACACTCCCTTTATGTCTGGATAGAAAGGAAGAAAATAACAGAGCTTTCTGACCAACAGCAGCCTCAAAATCCAATATGGCTGCAATCTGTTTAAACAACAGCAATGGCTGCCAGAGTAACAGTTTCGTTGCACCTTTGGCATCCTATCAGTAAACATGTAACTTTTTTATTTGGATAGATACATTAAAAAAAGGAAACATGGTTTTGTTGGTTTTCAAGTATTTTCTACATTCATATTCAGAGGATTCTGTAAATAAAGGGCCTATGGATACATTTTGAAATCATAGAATATTTAGTTTGTTTCAGTATTGAAAATAAAAGGGAAATTTACATGCAGTTGTGCTTAAAAGTTTACATACCCTCCTATTAAAGAAAATAATAAATTCACACCAGTAATTCAAATAACACAAAACCGAAAAAAGTAATAATAATAATTCTGAAAATGTTGGCAGGTGCCATATCCCATGAGTAAATCAATCCAGCTTTTCCACAAAGCATGTCAGCATAAAGTGCTGTAAAATATTCTGATGTCGTCAAAACACCTGATATTTTGTTCTCTGGCGGCTCTGACTGCAGCTGTGGTGCACATGGATAATCTCACCTAGATGTTTGAAATGGCATAAAACTTACAGTCCGCGTCTTTACCGACTCTCTGCTGGACAGCTGTCAGCAGTCATGCGTAGGGTAACATCTTTGCTAAAAAATTTCTTTTATGTGAAATTTCTGCTTAAATGGCTTAACACTTAATTGAATCTATCCATCGGTAATGAATCTTAATGACCTTTTGAACTTAAATAACTAAAATAAATATCCATTTCCCCATTAATTTAATATCTATGAGTCGCCATCAGCTAAGTTCATTGGCTTCGTGACTTCAGACTTGAGAATATTTGACACCATAACATTTTCTCTTCCTCTAGAGTCAACCTAAGGGCCATCAGTGGCACCGGGTTTGTCACAATTTGATAACTATGGCCTTATATGACTCTGGAGCAAATAAAAACAGGGAACCGCTCAGGAAAAGATGGTAAAACAAAAACATTTCTTTATGCAGAAGGTTGCAGTCATCATGGGAAATCTTCATTTTGAGTAAAAATGAAAAGTTCTGGGTTCTAAGCCATCTAAATGAGCATCTTCCGACCATGAATGAGGTGTTTAAAGATAGAACTGATGAAAAATACTCTGAGCTTTAGTTATTGAAGTTATTAGTTATTTATCAGTCATTAAACACTCCTTTGTATTTCTGTTAGTAAAGAATAAATGGCACCCTTATTATCACATATCTTCGGATTATTTTGGAACAATGCTTGGTATAAAAAAGCAGCAGAAATGTGACATTTAATATTGTTTTATTCTGTCAATGCATGTCATAAAAATGGGATTTATCACATCAGGACTGACATACTGTGCAGCACTTGAAGACTAACATTAGAATTAACCATCATGAAGGAACAGAGGACTAATTTAACAAGCCTGCTCACATGTAGCATTAACAGCACTGCTCGTAGGATTCATTTACCTCCTTTCTCTCAGACGAAGCTGACATTTTGACTACAGCTGTAGTTTTATGGTGCTGAATCATTTTTTTCACTCTTTGTTTGACCAGATAACAAAGTTCATACCTGATCCCCTTAAAGATGAAACCAGATTTTAACAGCCTGCCCTGCTGAAGTGAAAATATTGATGGAACGTGAAGATGGATAAGGAATGTCATCCATAGTTCTCTACATTGTATGACTATATGTTCAAATTATGAAAGGATTTTCAATATTTGTAAAATGTATGTAGCTGAATAATGTGATCAATAAAAACAACAGGAAACCGATTTGAAAGTTTGTCTTCCTTATTTGAAATATGACTGTCAGGATGTCATGATCTTCTCCTGAGGAAATGATCTGTTGCGGTCTGGGCTTTGACTAAACCGTTCTAAGCTTTAGTCCTTTCCTTCTAAGCAGTTCTGTTGTGTAGTTGCTTCAGTATTTTGGGATTATTGTTCGGGTTGATGACCCAGTTTGGACCAAGCTGCAGCTGTCTGATGGATTGATTATGTGCTACAGATCAGGAGTTCCCACATTTCAGCCTGTGACCCTAAAAGTTAAATTTATATTTTTCACATATTGGACAAAATGTTATGGATATATTCGCATTAATGTATTTATTGATCTATTTTAGCCCCTATGTACCTGAAAGATCACATCAAACCGATTGTGAAAACCATCTCAGACCCTGTAAGGGGTCCCGACCCCCACTTTTAGAACCCCTGGTATGGAGGAAATCATGTTTGATTAAATGAGCAGAGGGCTGCTAAACAAATCTGCATCATTAACCCTCCACCACCGTGTTTAACACATTTTGAAAATTTTAATATAAATAAATGTTTTTTAGAAGGTATAAAGCAAGCTGACATTATGATATGTGAGGAGACTGACCGGTTGGAAATGTTTATTTTCTCAAATTTTATTTCGTTTTTTTTTTTTGTTTTTACAGATATTTTGTTATTTTCTTCTCATTTTTGTTTTTAGATTTTAAATGATTAGATTTCTTTTTGTTTTCAGGTTTAGTTTTATAGATTGCATCATTATCAAACAGCGTTTTACAGATCACGTTCTCTTCACACATTGACCAATAAAATCCTTGTCACTACGGTAACCTCATGCAGACCAATAGAAATGTGTCTTTGCTCCTCACCGCCCTGAGAAGTGAGGAGAATGGGATCTGTAAAATGCTATTATAAAAATTATGCAATTTGTAAAACTCAATCTGCAAAGGAAAATCTTTGGGGAAAAAACAAGAAATATGCAATCTTTAAAAATAATAAAAAAACATTTTTATTAAAAACATTTTAATATAAATTCTGTAAAAAATAAAAAAAAAATCTGGGAAAACCTGATGATTAAATCTTTTCTTTTAGTTCTAAAGTTATTTTTTCCAAATGTTAATTTTTCTACATTGCCGTTTATAAAACCTGTTCTTATCTTGCCACAAAAATGAAACAAAATTTACTCTATATGTTTGTTAAAGATTCCTTACAATTATTTTTGGTATTTAGTCCTAAACTCCAAAACTGGACCTGCTGAGGCCTGCAAAGTCTGCAACCCAGCTGCTTCAGTTAATACACTCTATGCCAGGAATCATTTTAATTACTGTTAAATGTTTCCTTTGTGATTCAGCATCTATGCTTCTTTAAAGTCACTGCTGATGTCTTTCCATCCTGGGACGGTGAGAGAACATTAGGGGGGGTAAAGGATGATCGTTAAATCTACAGAGATGAAGCAGCAGGTCCTAGCTGCTCCTAATATCTTAAAATCCTATGGAAACGGCTTCCTTTTTGTTAAATATATACACTTAGTAGATTGTTTTATTATGTTCTGATAAATAAAAGCCTACAATGTAAGAGGGAACAGTTTGTGTTCTTCGTTTTATACTAGAATTGAAATAATCATGCAAGACAAGGCCCTCATATTTGGTAGTTTAGATCGTTGTGTCCTTTATGGTTAACTTATCTACACTTTGCACATTTTCTCTCTGGTTTTTTAAGATGCGTAAGAAACACAAAAAACATTCTAGGTCAACTGGTTTGCTAGTATCCTGATAAGCAAACATCATTTCACCAACTTCAGACGTTTTCATAAAAAGAAGCAGTACTCCATCAGAACTAATGCGACACGGTGATAATGAAGCCAATGATTTTACTTATGGTGGATTGTTGCACATAAAGCAAACAAGGCAAAACTTTTTATTCATCAGAAATAAATGTAGATGAATTCCTAATCCAAGCTGAAATCTAAATAAAGTTTTCTATGTAGACTGAATGTTTTTAAATTATGGGGTCTGGACAATAAAGCAAGTAATTGAGACTATATTTCATTCAAACATGGCCTAAAAATAAAAATACCCCCATCTTATTATATGGTAATAATCAACACTATTCTGGTTCAGCTTCCCCATTCAGATAATAACCGACCTGTAGAATCAAGATATTGCTCCGTTAGAAGCTGCTTGACAACATAAAACAGGTTGAGATTTTAAAAAGCAACAATAAACCAACAGTCTAAGAATCTCCATCAGGTGAAGTAAAACCTGACAGATCACTGTGAAGCAGAAAGCTGAACTAATCCAGCAGGTACATCCCAGCTGTGTTTTCAGAGTGCTCTGTAAAGCAGCGACATGCAGACATCAGTCTTTGAGCAGCAGGGCAGCGCGGGGCGTCCCACTGCTCGCCCCGAGCTGCAGAGCAGCTGAGCTAACAGACAGGGTGTGATGAGAAACCAATCATTCTGCTGTACTCGGCTTGAAATCAGAGTTTTCTGCCGGTCAGCGGATGTTTCTGCACGGGACCTCAGAGTCCCCACTGCAACAAAGTCGTTTTTTTCATCGAGGACATTCCTGCTGCGGAGTCGGTTTTCAGTGAAACAGGAGGAGGTTTCTGTCGCTGCGCGGCCACAGAGGGAAGGCCTGCTGACGCAGCTGCTGCCAGGCCTGCTGGTACGGCTGGGAGGCCTGCTTATAGTCCCAATACGTGTGCAGCTCGCCTGACCTGAACAGACATAGAAGAAAGGTTGGACTGTATCACCCCTAAAGCTGCAACAAAAAAGGGCATCACATTTCAATCCAATTTAACTTAATAATCACAAAAAAATGTATTTTATAAAGTCACAAACCCCCACAGTAACACGTTAAAACAATACGATTTGTCTTATCAGTATGATTACAGATAATGTAAATGATGCTGGTGAAGATTCCTAGTCATCCAGGTCATAGTCATCATAAAAAAGTTGTCCTGTGTATTTAACTGAATTCAAAAACTTTGTTTTAGCAGGGAACAAAAATCAGTTTTAAAGCCACAACATAACCAGTGCTAAGTCTTTTTTGCAGCTATTTTTCTTTGCATCGTTTTCTTAGTATGTTTGATTTGGTGATAAGTGGAGGCGTTGCAGAGACAAGGGTGGAACTAAACTGAGAAATACCGGCTGTTTCTCTGTAACTCCATTTGGACGCTTTGTGTTTCGTGCTTCACATGTGTGACTCCACTGCCTTAATTCCCATCGTTCCGAGCTTGAATGACTTCTTGCACAAAATCCACTGTGCCTCATGTATGTTCCCTGGTTTTAGCCATGGAGAAAACTCTTGGCTGAAACCAGTTTTCGTTACATTTACACTTGCTCATATTTTCCAGACAAAAAGTTAATGGTGCATCTCCCAAATGTCCCGGCCGCAACAACGCTTTTATTGGTTCTGCTATCGGGACGGAACCAATAATGGCGAGCCGTTATTATTATTATTCTTTTTTTTTAAAAGGTCAATTTTAATGTTTTATTTAGATTACAAAAATAAATCATAATAAAAATAATCCTATTTATGATGTTTTAAAAATTAAGACCTACGAAAGACTGATTTAAGACATTTTAATACCAATTAAGGCCTTAGTTTTATTTTGAAGAATTCAATGCCTTTTAAGACTTTTTAAAGGAATAGTACACCCAAAACATGATTAGCCTTCATTTTCTACTCACCCCCATGCTGAACAACACTCTGGAGTACTTTTTTGATATCTCAAATGCATCTGGAGATCTGGGAGGCTTCTTGCTGTCTGCTGACATTCAAATAATGGAGGTCTATGGCGCCCGAGACAGAAAGGTCCATTAAAGTCCACAAAAAACGTGTCAATATTCCTCCATACTGCTCGTCCAATGTATTCCAAGTGTCCTGAGTGGGTAGCATCCAGAATTTACTCGAAACGAAGTCATTTAGAATGTTTTTAGAGCATAAACAGTAGTGTATAGGATTTCCTGAAAGCGCGCACATGCGCGTTCACGACGCTACGGAAGCCGGCAGACCAAACCAGCGCATTCAGCTCAGCAAAGAACTCATGCTCTTCCTCAACACTGAAGTCCTCAGACATTTTTCTTTCGTTGTTTCTTTCTTTGCACAGGTAAACAGCACATTTCTTCTTCTACGCTTGCATTATTGGCAGAGCAGACGCTGAATGCGCACTTTCATCTGGTTTGGTCTGCCGGCTTCAGTAGCGTCGTGATCGCGCATGTGCGCGCTTTCAGGAAATCCTATACACTACTGTTCATGCTCTAAAAACATTCTAAATGACTTCGTTTCGAGTAAATTCTGGATGCTACCCACTCAGGACACTTGGAATACATTGGACGAGCAGTATGGAGGAATATTGACACGTTTTTTGTGGACTTTTATGGACCTTTCTGCCTCGGGCACCACAGACCTCCATTATTTGAATGTCAGCAGACAGCAAGAAGCCTCCCAGATCTCCAGATGCATTTGAGATATCAAAAAAGTACTCCAGAGTGTTGTTCAGCATGGGGGAGAGTAGAAAATGAAGGCTAATCATGTTTTGGGTGTACTATTCCTTTAAGGACCTGCGGGAACCCTGCAGATGTATCCAGAACATTACTAATGTAAGTAGTAGTAGTAGTTCTCTGCAAAAAGTTGCATTGTTTGATTGTCTGCATGTGGAACCTTATCAAAGTTAATTCTTGTACGTGTAAAACAATATTTGGTAATAAAGCTTTTTCAGATTATTGTGTCATATATATTTCACTATTTAGATTGGATACCTGAGATAGATTAACTTTTTAATCATATTCTAATTCACTGAGATGCAGATGTAAGTCAGCAGTTTTTATTAGTCCTTCAGTGATTATAATGCTGCTGACCAGTTTGGATCTAAATCATCAGATTAATCATTAGTCTGAAACTTTGTCTAAACGTTCTATAAAGTCTTCTTGGTGACTCTTTGGTTTGCTAACAGTGCTACTGGAAACTGCAGTTTGGTTTTCAGGTGGGGAGTGATGTGTAACATGTGCAAAGGAAGAGGTGGATCGGGTTAACTGCTGAACCGCTGAGGAACAGAAGGAGCTCTGTTTCTGCTTTACAGAGCTAACAATCAGAGCCCAGACACCCATTCAGAATATGCACACCATCCTAGATCTGGTGTTTCCATCAGTTCAGGGGACGCATTATTGATTTAAACCACTGCTGATCCAAAGATGGATTCAAAGAAGTAAGGAAACCATAAAATTAATTTTCTCTTTGAAAGCTTTCTTTCTTAATTAAAGAAAACACTTTGGGTATTCTGGGATATTATTTGAAGGACCTCCTGACTCAGATATGATCATAAGTGAAAGGAAAACCTGTAGGAGTGGATCAGATCAAATCTAAACAGTAAATACTGCATTTCACAGCCAAATTACAGTCGTCATTTTGTTTTGTTTTAGGTTTTAAGCTCTGCTGCAAATTCAAACATACATTTAAAGCAACAATAAGATGATTAAAGTCAAAGTAAAGTCTAGAATTAACTGACTGTAAAACTGGCAATGAGATCAAAATATATATTTTTAAATAAATAATCAGATAGAAAAATGTGCCTTTAAGAAGATTTTATACTGAACTAAGTGAAGTAAAGCTCTGCTACTAGAGGAGTTTTGGATGGAGCTAATTCATCCACAAAAAAAGATTTTTTAATCCTAAATGTAAAGAGTTGATGTATTTTTTACAGTTTAACTATAATTACTGCTCTAGGAGGGTTCCCCTTTCAGCATGTAGCATATGTTCAAGTCTGTACATCTCCAGTTAATCAATCCATTACCAAATAAGTTAACCATAGCTTCAATAATTAATTAATCAATTTTTTCAGCTCTAGTTCGAGCTATTCAATTATAACTCATAAGAAGTTATAATGCAGGAATTAACATGAATAAAATGTCTTTTTCCTTAAACACATTTCCTGATGTCTGAGGTCATCCAATGCTGGATTGTCCTGGTAGTTATGTTTTCAACATTAAAGAAGTGACTATTAAACTCTCTACGAATAAAGTTAATCCACAAAATAAATAAAAAACATCCTTCCACTGGACAGAGTCTGTTACCAGAGAGAGTCAGGCAGAGATGAAGGGTCAGTTGCCGCTACGAGTGACAGGAACGAATGAAAAAGCTCCAGTTTGCAGAGAAGCGACCTGAGGGAGACATTAGCAAGACTTTAATGACCCAAAGAAGGGAAACAGACCATTACTTCCACACTCTATACCTGCTGTACCTGGCTTTAGGTGTTCCCAGGACTTTCTTGGTGACTCCATGTTTGTAGCCGTTGGCAGTGACATCTAGTGGCTGATGTGGTACATTACACCAGCTGATGGCTGGAAGATGATTGACAGGGAAGTTAATGATCGTAAGAAAAAGCAAACCTAAATCAAATGTACATGTTGTTTTAAACACTACAATCTTCTACTTGTTTTTGCTTTTATAAATAACAACTATAACTCAAACTCACAATTTATAAACCATCAGTAAATGATCACCAAAAGCAGTGAGAGCTGCAGTGAGAGCTGTACTGATTCTTGAAGCTGATTTCCAATTTAAACCAGTTCTTCAGTAATAATATTTAATGGCATTTTTTAATCATATTTACTTAAAACCAAAAGACCTTCATGTATTCATCATCATCAAATTTCAATAACATGTTAAATGGTTTTCGAAATGTTTAAAGTAAAAATAAATACTTTTAAGTATTTATTTGTGGTCAGCTGGGATTCCTCTCTAAAGACTGGAATTGTGCTCCTTAATAGCAAAATTCAGATTGGATAATCGGCTTCTGGAAACATCAATTTTCCCGAAATTCCTGCTTGGACTTTGACTAGGACTTTCTCTGCACTTCTATCTGAATGTTTTCATTGTAGCTCTATCTATGCGTTTATTCCACACTGAGTTGTTTGGACCTCATTTCAGCGCATCCTTCATGGCCTCGTAAATCAGATCTCCAAATTCCTCGATGTGAACTTGGTTTCATCTATGCAACAAAGTATTTCCTGGAAGTAGGACAAACTGACCTGCTCCACACGGCGAGATGCGTCCCTGTTCGCTCCGGTGTTGGAGCTCGGTTTGGTTCTGGCTGAACGGGAACTCCAGACTGGACTGAAGGAGCAGTGGTGAACAAATGGAGAAACCATCTGGAAGATCTGACACGTGGGAGCTCCTGCGAGTGAAGGACAGTTAGACACAAAGGAAGTCTCTGAACCTGTTCTGGGGACGATCGGTTGGCCTCGCCTTAACTGGCTGGTTTACTGCTACAGACCCAACTTTCAAACAGCACAGAATCTTTCAACAGGGTTAAAGTCGGGGCTTTGAATAGGACACTCAGAGAAGTTAGCTTAATTTTTATAAATCCAGAACTGAGGTCTCATTTTTAAAACACTGCAGAGGATTCCTACTAAACAGAGAGATGTGGCAAATATATGAAAATGACATAAGCCTTGGAAGTGTTATATTTCCCAAAACTGACATTTCACACAGTTGGGGTGCTGCGCCAGGCTGCATGACAAAAAAAGTGGACATCTTAAGTTTTCCTTTAGCTGTACTTCAGTTCCCATTAAATGCTCCACCTTATGTTTAGCTCTATACACCCAGACACTAAACCATAAATGATCCTCATGAATGTTGATGTGCATTAAAATTAGTCTGCAGATCATTGTAAGTTCATGGTTACCAATGGAACATCAGATAGGAGGCATAAAAAAGAAAAGGAGTTAGTGCTGGACGTCTCAGATCTAAGGATTCTTTCACAGAAAGTGTCTTAAAATGAGAATCTGTCACCAGAAACCCAAAACTCTGCGTTAGAATCTCTCTGTAGCACCAATATAATTTATATGTCCATAAAAAATGGCTACAGGTTCTTATATTTAGATGTGTCCTAATCTCTACATAGACATATTCTTCAATCAGTTAAGCTCACTGACCTCGTCCTGTTTAACACCTGTGATCAACAGGGATGCCGTCTTAAGCATATGATTTATGAAATAGTGTATGAACTGTTAGACAATGCCTGAATCCATACTATATACCTCAAATGTATATAGGCAGCTTCTCTCTGTGCTCTGACTGCATGTGGGGCTTTCTGCCTGTGAGACAGCGCTTAGGGAATTAGTGACTCAGCTGATAAACGGTAACAGTAAAACAGTTGCTGCTTTCACCAGAAGTCACTAATCTCATAAAAAAAACACAGAGAAAAGTCACAATTTTTCTTTAGTCAATGTTAAATGGAAAATAAAAAAAGTTGCTAGAGGTCTTCAACTCCCCAAATATAGCAACAAAGTCCCTAAGTTGGCAACACTGGACTGTTGTCTCCAGTTTTTCCTTCACTAGAGAGCCGAGTAGTGCAGCAACAGTGAGCATTATACACTACAGAAGAGGGTGTTGTTTCACAATTAAGTGCATGTTAACATTTCATGATTTTAAATTCATATTTTTTGTGCAAATATACAAAAAGCTACTCACTGGAACTAAGGGGTTAAACTAAGTTGCCTCTCATCATTTACGTAGTGACCTGTGGTACGAACCACGCTCTTGATCATCAGGAAGAGGAATGTGATGGTGAGGAAACATTTTAATATTGTGTCGACCTTGCTTTAGAATTTAAACCCCCTAATGAGCTTTTTATTACTTCCTCATGTATAGCTGTGATTCAGCAGGTCAAAGATATACTATAATGTGGTTTTGGATTCAAAATACGATTAAAGTTTCAAAGGAAGTGAATTGAAATGTCCAAGAAGAATTATGATGCAATCTGGCTTCAATTCCCCCCCTGAACCAGATTCCTCCACCTTAAAATTGTGCATAACCGTCAGATGGGTCAGAGTTTCCATGAGGTAATGCACATTCTCACGTTAGTTTGTCTATAGATCACAACATTTGCCTGGAAAGCGGCTTACAACAGCTTTATAAACAGAGACACCTGCTCTGTGCCCATGTTTCATTAATCTGTACCTATGAAAACACAACAGGTCCTCAGCAGGATGCTTCCACCCCCATGCTTAACAGCAGACACCATTTTATATGTATATATATAAAAAAAAATCAAGCCAGTGTGGAAAAACATGACAGTAAATCCCCTCACAGCCCCCACCTCGTCACCAAGGCTCTCTGCATGACTTCCTGGCTGTATGGACACTTTCCCACCACGATGGTGCTGAAGTACAGAGCCTCCTCCAGGTAGTGGGACAGCAGCGCCCCCTGGAAGCCCAGCACCCCCCAACGGGCCAGTTTGTCACTGCAGGACAGGGACAGGGTGGGCTCTCCCCGACCTGGCTTTACACGGAGGACCCCAGTGCTGTGGTAGCCCGCCCCAGGGTGCAGAGGGTCCGCCTGGCCTCCAGGGACACACTTGGCACCCGTCCTGTGAACATCTGTGACCTGTGGACGTGAACAGGCTGGGTGATGCGGCTCTGCAGGGCCGTCTGGTTTAGGCTCCTCTGCTGTTGCTGGAGCAGACTCGTCTGGATCAGGTGCTTTAGTGGAACAAGTCCTGGATTCAGTCCAGCCCGTTTCCTCTTCTTTTGTCTCTTTCTCTTGGAGACGAGGTAGCTTAATGTTCCCTCCGTCTCTGGGTTCCTCAGCTTTCCTCTTCAGGTTCCCCCCTCCATCCTGCTCTGGACGGCGGTTCGCCGATGTAACAGGAGGGCAGGGCTGGGACTGGGAGTCAGTCATGGGAATAATGGAAGCGTCACCACCTGGCGATGAAACGTTATCCTCAGAAAGATTCAGGTTAATGAGTTTTTAAAGCTACGAAATATTAAATGAAATGTAACCTTAAGATTGATTGGAGGAACTGAAGCGTCGGAAAGGGAATGACTTTTCATTCATGGAATAATTTTTTCCACTAGCTCTAGAAGATGCCAGGTGTCATTTTTTATCATTCTTAATCAGCAGCACTGGAGACGATGTAAGAAAATCCCTCACGTTCATTTTTCTTAACGCCGTGAAAAGCTTGGAGAATAGCACAAACGCCCAAAAACCTTGATTTCCAGAATCTGGGTTTTCCACTCCCACATCATGATGCAGCCGCCACCGTACCCCAAGCTACATTTGCCCCGGACACGATTTAAGCAGCAGAAGCAGGTTTAAATGCAAAGTCAATGGTTGATGCGCATCAAGTTTCTTCTAAAGGTCCTGCAGCGCGTCTCGAGCAGCAGAAGCAGCATATCTGCTTCTGACCATCTAAGTCACAGGAGTTTGAAAAATGACACACCGATCAGAGAAGCTGTCATGGAGATAGATGGTGCTGCTATTGCAGCAAGCTCTGATCACTCCACTGAAACAGTTTATTAAAGCCAAAATTAGATTAAAATGTTGAAACTGCCAGCAAAATTTGTTCACTTTTATTACTCTGGTGCTTGCATAGGGTTTGTACATGAATGAGCAACTCTTATTTAATGCTTTTTAATGTTCTTTTAATGCTCTTAGAAATTATCTTCATGCCATCAACAAGTACCCAATATATATATATATATATATATATATATATATATATATATATATATATATATATATATATATATATATATATACATACAGCAAAATCCTTCGTCATCTTCACCGTGGACAGGCTGCAGCCATGTCCCAAGTTCCTCGTTTTCCCGCCATTTTGGTTCAAATTTACATTTTTCCCCATTCTCTAGCCTTTTCTACACCTCAAGCTTCTTTTCCGAAGCCATTTTAATGCCACAGTTATCAAATTTAATGACTTTTAATTAGGGATGCACGATATAATCGGCCCCCTATCGGTATCGGCCTGTATCGGCCTTAAAACTGAATATCGGATATCGGCCACCCCACCGATATTTAACCCGATATTTGATCAGCTTCTGAGTTTCTAAAGTCTAAAAAAAAAATAAAAAATACTACTTCTTCTTCTTCCTCAAAAACTTCTTTTTTACCGACTTAAAAACTTCTAAAGACGAGGGAAAAAATATTGATACATTAAAATATCACAATATCTTCATATGCTGATATATTGCCATTTAAAAACACCATATCAATCTCTTTTACCAATGAAATATTGCTATATGTCATCGTTATGCTACGAAATCCCCCGAAAATTCACGAAATTTTGCCATATTTTTATATGTTGATATATTGACGCGGTATCGATTTATTTTACTAACAAAATCTCACAAGAATTTGCAAAATATCACGAGAGTTTGTAACAGAACGATGAAATTTCACGAGATTTTGAAAGTAAAATAGATCAACCGCGTTTTTAATAATCAATTTCATATCAGCATATGAAAATATATTTGAGTATATTATTTTTCAAAGTGTCAGAAATAGATAACAAAACTGCTATTTTCAATGACTACTTATGTTTGTCCAGCTTTAACATCGGTATCGGTTATCGGCTACATGAGTTTTAAAATATCGGCATATCGGATATCGGCCAAAATCCCAATATTGTGCATCCCTATTTTTAATGCCAATTAAGGCCTTCATTTAAAAATGTATCATTTAATGACTTTTAATGATTTTTAATGACCTGCGGAAACCCTGTTGCAGGTTATACCATTTCCCTGAAAAACACTAACATCTTCTTCCAGCCCCCACGAACATTAGGGGGGGGGAAAAACCAAGAGGCGACCCGGCCTGAGGCAGCTGCTGCTGGGGATTCCCAGTGACTTCAACATTTAGTGGAATCAAAACAAACTAACAAAACTCTAAGGGTAGTTTTTCTCCTTAAACCAGTTACGAAGAGAAACAATTTATTTCCATTGTATCAGGGAGTTGTTTTGATTGTTTTTATTTGTTGTTGTTTTTTTACGTGTACTCATGCTAGCTCTGAAGCTCATCATCTGATCTGAAGTGGGCTGGCTGCAACTTAAGACGCTGACATTAGCAACTATGCTAACATGACAAGGACGGGGACGATTTTTGGTTTTAAGCTTAAAAACCCCCAGTGGACCAAAGGTTGCGTGGCTGCTTGTTCGACGCATTTACTGGTGTACAAGAAACATGAAACACAAAAGCTTCAGCTCAGAAACTTAGTATGTAAAAAGAAGTATGAACTTAATTTTGTTAACACGATCAAATCTGTAAAATTAATAAATTCAAACTAACTTGTCAAAAGTCTTGGCCCTAGTGGAAAAATAAAGAGTAATCCAAACAAAAAAGTAACTAAAAAAAAGAAGCACACTGGTAGTTAGACACGGTGATGACAGAATAATGCTCTGGGATTACTTTAGATTGGATGGAAATTGGAGGTTATGAAAAAAGACAAAGTTAGTTTTGATGTAGAGAGGAACTTCACCAAAGGAGAGGAAATGTCTTGGACCAACAGTTGATTTAACAAAGTATCAGTCTGAGGATGTGGAAACGCCGAATTTATAAAAAGTATCCAAGATAGTACAAAAAAATGACTTTTTGGCTAAAGATGGATTCCTCTTACTTTACTCAGAGCTTGTAAAGCATGCTGGGAGCATGTTGGACTCACATGGAGTGTGACTGGTAAAGAGGAGGAAGGAAACTCCCGGCTGAAGCCTCCACTTCCCTCTCTGATCCGCCGGGCGAAACAGCGAGCTGCAGCGACCGCTGACGGCGCCGTGCAGCTCCTGGATCAGATACCTGCACAGAAACCCCTCCACAGTGAACTCCACCACTAAGAATGAAGGTCTATAAGAAAAGAGACCAAACATTCACCTGATGCAGCCCCTTCTGGCGATGACTTCTGCATGGCTGTCGTTGAGCACGTCCCCTGATTCAGCAAAGGAATGGTTTCAGAGCAAATATGAATGAATATATGGCTGAAAAAATAAAAACAACCATTAGAAGGATCACACAGACCGGCGGGACTCATGGCTGCTTTTCCGACACATTTAGTCCCAGTTCCCAAAGAAACGACCTCCATCTCAACTGGAACAAGAAGATCATTTCAGTTATTTCCCAGTTTACCTGCTGTCTCAGAAATCCACATTCATTTCCCGGCTGCATAGAACTGAACCACAAGGGATAGCCCCTCAGTGCGATAAAGTTTAAACCAGCTCTTTATGGTTTGATTTGTTTCAACTTGAGATGCACCAAATCAGACGGCCAGACTTTATGATCCTGTAAGATACTGAAAAATGTCAGTTTTTTGGCAACTATTTAGTTAAACACACCAAAACTAGGATCATCCAGTATGGCTCGGCTAAAAAAAAGCATTAAAAATGTACTTTGGTTGACTTTTATATGTTAAATAAAACTAATAGAGTAAGGAATAAACTGGAATATAATTTTAATACCTTAATTTTCTGCTGGAGTCGACTCTACTGCTGATTTTAAAGAGCCTGCAGCAGGGCTTCAGTCACTCTAAACAAACAACACATCAATGACCAATTATCAGCAGCTCAGAAATCTGTTTTATTTTTGGATAAATACAGCTCCAGTAGTATAAGACCAGTAGAAATTGATATTTTAGAGAACTAAATTCTATACCCTAAATATTCCATCGATGCTTCTTTAGCATAGATAGAGCTATGATGTGTGGCATTGCTGGTTGTCTTGTCTCTCATCCTTCTCCTTCTCTCTAAAATACTCAATAGAGACTCTATAAGGTTTAAGACAATTAGCTGGCTATAACAGTACAGTACTGCACTAGCTTTTGGTATCCTTTGACAGTGTTGGATGGCTGGAAAGCTTTTTAAAGCTTTATATCATCTGTAAAAAATTATCACTTGGTGCAAAGTAGATTCCTGTCTTCTCGACTCTTCCTCCGGACTTTGAGATCTTGATTTCTTAAAGAAATACAGACTTTAATCAGAAAAGAACCACTGAGGTACACTTTAAACCGGAGTTTCCGCCTAATCCATCGTTCCTTATATGCAATGAATGCAACAGTAGGGGCTCATCCAGAGATGGGTGTAGAGTTTGTTACTTTTATTGGAGCTGACTGAATTATTGTGACAGAGAGTCTATACTAAATGAGATGCAGATCAAACTCTCTGCAACATTTGTGAGGCGATCTGTTTCCTCTGATTGTTCCTCAGAGCGAGACTGTTAAGGTTGTAGAGCGCGTGATTTTCCAACAGCCTCAGATCCATAGCTACAAGTCCTTCATTCTGCATTGTCTTTGTCTGCTTAGATAAATAAGCCATTTAGTGTTTTAAATTATGTTTGATGGTAGAGAAAATAGGATCTTGTCCATCCCTGAGCTTATCATTAATGCTACCCCTCTGAAATCAAATTGACGGAGTTTGGACCGAGCTTGGATAAGTTAACCGTGCCAAGCTTATTTCCTTAGGACCATTTACACATCAGGCTGGAACAGTTCCTCGCCTCCTGTTGGTCCACAATACTGCAGCTCTCAAGGTGGGAATTAGACAAACAAAAAGGGCGGCGCCCATAACATTCAAGAACTTACGTGCCTGTATATCATTCACAGATGAAGACATCTGTGAATGATAAAGCCGGACACACAAGAAAACCTACTAGAACTAGATTTAGGTCGTGTCTGGCACGGTCCAGTTCAGTTGCGTTCAATTTACACTCAACAGTAATCCTGGTTTCTGAGCTCGGCCCGATCTCAGAACGGTTTCAGGAGGGTAGTGTAAATGGATCCATCTGTGTGATGCCACTGGGTCTCCACTCAGTGTGAATCCCGCACAAACTCCTGAGTGGCCTTTACTTCTTTGTCTTTAGGAGGCTGCAGCTATTTCTGATAATTGTGCATGTTTTGTTTTTTTACCACATTTTTACCTTCCACTAAACTTTTCACTTATGAGAAAAACTCAAAACACTGTCAAAAAGCAGCCTCTCTATTTATGACTATCCCATCCTGCTGAGATGGAGTTTTTTGTAATCCTTTTTGTTTATTTATTTAAATATTTTTATTTTATTTTATTTTTTTTTTCACATTCGCTCTTAATGAGAATGTACATCAATGAGTATTCTATTGAAAATTGTTACAGAAAAATAATCACTGTTATAATATGTGATTGCACATTTATTGCACTGATTGCTAATCTTTCATAGTGTCCATTTTAGTGGATATTTTCATGGCTTATTTTCCATTTAGATTCTGAGCCATTCCAAAGGAACCAAATATATTAAAAAAAAAATCATAACGCCAAATTATTTTAATCAAGATAACATTGTTGCAGACTCTTGCACAGAGAGACTGTTTGAAAATAAAAGCGAAGTCAATCACATTTACATCACATGGCTGTTTTTTCTGCTCTAACCTGATCCAGTGTTTAGGCTCCGGGTGACCCGGAGCACAGCGGCCAACAGGCTCCACTCTCTGCCGGCCTCCGGCTTCCCTCTCCGGGGCAGCTGTTGGAAACGCTCGTAACACAGTTTAGCGACTTCATCAGCGTTTATCATGACAAGAATATCAAATCAGTATTTAGGTATAATAAAACGTTTTGCTTCAAAATATTTACTGTTAAGGCAGGAAGTTTTATTCAGGCGCGTGAAACGATTTGAAACATTTTTCCAAAGCAAGGGGAAGTACTTCCGGGAACGACCGGAAGTACTTTCACAATAAAAGCTTAATTAAACCGATTTAATAGTAAAACGTTATATTGTTCCGAACACAGCTGTTTATGGAAGCCCATTTCCGCCACTCTGTAAAAAAAAAAAAAAACAAAAAAAAAATTATCTCATTTTAATGAAATAGTAACACAATATAATGAGATGCTATCTCATTATATTGAGTTACTATCTCATTATATTGAGTTACTATCTCATTATAATGAGATACTAACTCAATATAATGAGAGTATTTTTTTACTGTAGTAAAATACATTAAATAGAATATATATATATATATATATATATATATATATATATATATATATATATATATATATATATATATATATATATATATATATATATATATATATATATATATATATATATATATATAAAACAATCCAACTCACATCATGTGAACAGCCACTGGAGAAAAAAAAAAGTTATTCAAAGACAACCTAAATAAGCAAAAAGAGAAGCCCTGTCTACTCTTATGACTAATGAGCTAAACTGAAAAGGTCAAATTATCTGAGCTTCAGCCTGATTGTTTGTTTACATTTACCAGTTAAAAAATTAGCAGCAGAATCCTGGATGTGCTGAAAGCATGGAGAGAGACCTGGTCGATCCCAGAATAAAGCTAATTTCTACAAAATACATTGAGTGATGTTAAAAACCTGAACTATGCTTTGCTGGTCATCATAAGCGTCGTTAGACCTATTTAAGGGTGGCTTCAGCCACCCTTTCTTTGGCATTAGCCACCCTATAATTATTTTGCGATTTTAAAAAATATATATTTTTTTCTGTATTTATTTTTTCCTCATATTTTCCCAAAACAAATGCAGTAAAGCACCGAATAAAAGCCATAAAGAAGACAAGTTAATCTGAACAATCATAGGCGTAACTTCCTTAAGGACTGGTGTGGACATGTCCCCACCAATATTTTGTACACGTATTTTGCTTTCGGTGCTGTGTATATCTGATTAAAACCCCATTCATGCCGCTCCTCAGAAAGAAAATAAAAAAAGTTCTCCCCGCTGCTCACCGTCCACAAACCCCGACAAAAAAACTCAGAAAAAATAATCTGTTGCCTCTCGCTTTCTCCCCAATCACCCCCCTCCAACCTCTCCCCATAACATTTGAATTGAAGATATCCGCGGGTGACGGGTCGGGTTCGGCAGTCATCCTAACGGGTTCGGGCGGGTGCGGGTTGGTAAAACTCGACCCCTGCAGGTCTCTAGGCTACACTACATTCAGTATCGTTGCCATAGAAACAGACAACAGCGCCAATATATCAGAATTATACTAAAACACACGCAAATAATTTCCCACATAAAAAACAGGACTTTCAGTCCATTACATTTTTCCGTTTTTAGAGGGTTGTTTATTTTGCGTTTATTAAGTGATGGCTGTGGTATATTAGCTTTCACTGCTATAACCTTTCGCAGCAGTGATTGATTAATTTAAACACCTGCTCTACTGATGGTCTATCGGAGTTGGTGTTTAGGTTGAACATAAAGAACACCTTTTATTTGAAGCTTCTTGTAGCTACTGTTTTAATCCCGGCTTTACTTAAAACTTTTTCCTGACTTTGATAGTGTTGCCATTCAGTAGCAAGCACTGCTTCCCTTTTTCTTTTATATGTACACGTACATTTAAGATTTAGCGTGTTAAGTTGACAACTCATGAGCAAGCTGCTTTTTGCAATCTAGCAGGAAGGTAAGGATAGGATCTTGCAGGTGTGACGTCACTCTGCAGGGGGTCCAAAGATAAAAGCTTTAAACAATTTTGGCATTGGAATTTCAGATTTAAGGGAGTTAGAAAGTTCACTTAGTAAAAGTGCAAATAATAAATCTGATTACCGATTACTTTTAAGCTGGTTGAACATACTGCGACAGACTGGTGACCAGTCCAGGGTGATCCCACCTCTCACCCAGAACGTGGCTAGAGATATGCACCAGCACCTCCTGATCCCACTGAGGGATAAGGTTAAAGAAAATGGATGGTTGAACATAGTCCGCTCTCCCAGATTCTATCAAATCAGTATTGACACTGCTGGTGGATGTTCTTGACAGAAAGACGGAGTTGCTTAATCATATTCTGCTTAAGGTCCCATAAGATCTTGTCCGAGTCCTGGTTTAAAAGTAAATTAATTTTAAAAAGTGACCCAAAATTGACTGTCAATAAATGTTCTACAAAATATTTATTTGATTTCTTTGATTTGTACTGTCTGTTTAGATTTATGTGATATTTTTTGCACAAAATATATAAGTGAATATTGTAACAGTTATGTTTTCAACTGTAAGCATTAAATTGATAAATGTTATTCGCATTTTTTTGGCTTTATCCTTTCCAACAAAAAAAAAAAAGGCGTCGCGCAGGTAGCTCCCTTTCCTTATGAGCCGTCCCCAGCAACTTTCAACACAAAGTTACACCCTTGTCTTAGACAACGCCTTAGCAGGTGCACTGAAAAAATTCGGCGCGCGCATAGTGCGCGCATTATCTTCTAGGGGCTAAGCCACCCTTGTCTCTTAAACCTAGAGACGCCCCTGCTGGTCATGTTTTGACAAGTTTAAGTTCAGATCAAGGTTTGACAAAAGTCTGGAATTACTGATAGGATGACTGAAATAACAAATGTGTTTTCTTTTCATTTCCTAATTTTAAGTCATCAAGGAGGTTGGAAGGAGGATGGATAGTTTGGTTTTAAAAGAAAATAAATCTGACAGTCATCTGCATACAGTGAAAAGATAAGCAGTGATTTGATAATGAAAAACAGCCCAAGAACTGAACCTTCAGGAAATCCACATAAAACAGCTGCCATATTATACTTTTTCTTTATTTAAACAGGCCTGCTAATATGATCTTATGTTGCACCATTATGGCAATTGCCATGTGAAAAACCCCCAGATATATCCATTGGCCGGGCGTACAGGATGTTATCTTTACAGAATATGAGAAACCATGGAGGCTAGATGTCTACTTTTATCTGTAAGGTATATGTTGGATGTAATACTGCATCGCTTAGGTATTTTTAAAACCAGGTGTAGTTAAAGACACTGCACCATGGATCCTCCATCCTCTGGGCCAGTTTGCATCATTTCTCGGCAGGATTTACAGCAATCCTCTCATGTTTCCTGGAACATTTCCACGGCTTCCACTGCAGAATTCTGGGTCGCTCCTCGCAGACACACATTCAGACTGGAACCACTGTTGGCTGCAGGATGCCAACAGTGGGGAAGACATGACAACAGTTTGTTTGTGTGGCTACATCCCAGCATCTACTTCCAATTACCCAGAGCCCGCCGGCCAAACCACAAACTGCGTCCTGATGAGTGGAAAATGCTGCCGGCTCCGGCACAGCTCTATCTGCATCAGCAATCACTCCAAATACTTTAAGTTCGTGGATTCAGAGGCACTGGGTTCAATTATGGCCGACATTGTTCATGTTTCTCTTTGATGCCCAACGATTTAAAAATCAAGTTGTGTTTAAATGTTGCAAAGAAAAAAATACTAGAGTGATCTAAAGTGAAGGGTTTATATTTGTGATTTACTTGCTATAAAGCAAGTGGTGGACCTTTCTGTCAATAAGGGAGTAAAACTTGCTGTCAGAAGCTTCCATGGGGCCCCAAGCAAAATTTTATCTGCAGATATTTACTCTGTTTCGCAATCTCTTTTTGATTTGCATCATCTAGAGTTACTAACAATAATAAAATAAAGTAGTAGGTGATCTATTTACAGTACAGATTTTATGTGATTTATACTTTTGGTTCAAACAGCAATATGCAAAAATAACCTGCAGTGTAAGAATAACAAATAAAATTGCTTTGATAAAGAAAATTATTTTTTTTTTGGACAAAATCTGATATAGCAAATAAACAAAATGTCAAACTTATCATTGTTCTCCAACAATACGTTTGTCTATGAGAATTTTACACTCGACTCTGTTTTAATTTGGTTCCAAAACAGTAATGTTTATCGTGTAAGGTAATAATTCTATTTGGTTAAAGATATTTTGATAATAAAATGCATAATTTTGTCATGAAAGTATATGAATTGTTTACTATATTTATATAGAAATCATTATACATGCTTAAAAATGAAAAAGGAATTGGTTGATATTAACATTTGTTGGTGGTGAAATAAAATAAACTGGTTAAAAATGACATCAGATATTGTTGAAAACAGGCTTGGCTGGAAGGGATGCAAAGCAGCACTAGCAGATGGATTATCAGGGGTCTTCAGCGTACATTTCCAAAACAAGTAGTTAAATATAACTGTATAGAAAGCCTTTAGACATTTTAATGCCAAGCTGCTACATTTCAGGTGTAAGATTATAAATTGGCCATGATGAGTCGACTTTTAAATGTTTTTTTTAATCTATATAGCACCAATTCACAGCACATGTCATCTTAAGGGACTTAATAGAGACAATTCAATCAGATCATACAGTCAGATTAGTTCAAAGGAAAACCAGCTGATTGCATTGACTCATTGGGCCGAAAGCAATCCCCCAATTTTTCAATCTTTTTTTTAGAATCTTAATTCCAGCAAAATAGTCGTTTTCCTTGACCAAGCCACCTAACACTGGTCAATATAATATCCAGGCAGTAGAAGCCCCTTAAAATCATTGTATAAATTTTTATTCTACTGACCGAAACCTAAAAACTAAGGAGAAGGTTATCTTCAGGGTCTTTGCAACTAAACCTTAACAACACAATTTATTCCCATTTAGTTGCATTGAAGCCAAAAACTTCATTAAAGCCAAAAACTGTGTGTTTAATGACTTTACATGATAAACATGGAGATAAGTTTTTATTTTCTCTTTGCAAAATAGACTAAAACTAAATTAGAATAGGTACACTAGAAAGAAACTAAATAAATTACATTACTATAAAAGTAAACAAAAATGCTATTTTTAACTGCAGTCCCTGGACAAGAGAAACATTATATATAAGTGCATACCATCAGTAAAAATACAGAT